GTGAATTCCGCACCTCTCCTGCTGGAGGTGAGCCCTACAACCCTCCTCTTGGCTTTCATAAAATGGCTCAGTTTTACTGATAACGACTCATGTTCTGAAGGCTTTAGACAGTGTGAAGGTTTTAGTCCAGCTATCAATATTCTGATAGCAGGGAGGTTTCTGCTGGGCATATCTCATCCTGTCCTCATCAGATTCATTTAAAGGTTAATGTTTTTGTTCCAGTCAGGGACCCTGTTCCTTATAGTAAGTAAATCTTGTCCTGACATCCTTGATGGGACCAATCTCTCACCTATTTGTACTGGCAACTGGCCTGTGTTCTGAAGATTTAGTGAATAGAAGAATAGCTTTAATACTAATAAAAATGCAAAAAGTAAGGAGGAAAAAAATCAGTAATCTATTTTTTCTCTATACTTGGTTTAAGCTGGTTGTCTTCTTCCAGGGTGCCTTACAGAGGCAAATTGCAAAATCTTTTGTTTATTTTTTTAGTCCACGCTTTAGGTATATAAACTTAATGGCTAGAATGTGTTTTCTTAAGTATAAAACTTCTTAAAAAGTTTATGAGCTTTATTTTGCATTGATCAGTGCACACTTTACTTTTAAAATTTTTATTATTTCTAGTGAGAATACAAGCAAATAGACAGGAATCTAAAAATTCTCTGACCTGAAGGCAGACTGGGTGGAAAGAATGGATGCCATCCTCAGCTTGAACCCCCTACTTGGTGTATAAAAATTTTCACTAAATGAGGATGCTTGTTGCCATTAACTATGAAGTTGACTTTTTTTTTTTTTGTGGTGTGAGAGAGTGATACAGAAATATTCTAGTGATACTAGTGATTCTAGTGTATCTGCTGACATGTATCTGCTGACATGTGTCTGCTGTCCTTGGTCTGTCCTGGACTTGGACTTCAACTTACATGCCAATGTTTGGCATGGAATCTCTTCTGAATTAGAAATGGCAACCTACTATGGAGCACGTGATATGAACGTTTGTTTTGATGAAGGAAAGCTGCATGATTAACAGTACTTTTAAAATAAAATGTTTCTTTTTTGTTTTGTTTACAAATGATTGGGAATTTGGATTTGGTGGTGAATAATTTGTAAGTGGAGAAATATAACTGCTAAAAAGCAAAGTAATAATATGTCTGTAGAGCACTTTGAAGATGAAAAGCTCCATATACTGTAAACATTATTACTAATATAGCTTCATCTATGTGGAATAATTACTCTAGCATAAGCAAAATGTAGATTTATTTTTTTTTAATGTACAACATAGTGTTTCAGCAAGTCTAATGAAACTATTTATTTACTTTTACATTGTAACATAAGAAATTCATCCTTTTTAAAAATTTTTTTAAAATATCTGTGTGTTGCAATGATTTACTTTGTTGTTACTTTCTAAAAGGACCACTTTAGAGGTGGTCCTAACCCAGAACAACCTGTCAGCAATGTGAAACCTCTAGGCTGGGAGGAAAAATTGGTGTTTTTTAAAAGATGGTATAAAAATATTGTATGATGAGAAATAGGTGCCTGTCAGATATGGAAATGTTTGGAGGTCAGCTGGACTTCTTAGGCTGGTGCTGTGGCTTTGGATAAGACTTGCCTGAATTCAGTTACAGAGGCAGGCAGGTGCCAGATTGCGCTGGGAAGCGAACACCTGCCAGGCGGCTCCAGATAACTCAGCAGCTCTCAGGCATTTTCCCAGGCTCCCAGGTGAATGGTCTGTAATAGCCGTGGGAGAGGGCTTCCCACTGCTCCACGCTGCACCACAGCCTCTTTTTGGCAGCTTCTGGAAGCACAAGTCAGCTTGGCTTGGACTCCTTTGGAAAACAAGTGTTGCTGGATAGCCTTACAGCTAAGAGTCAGTGTCTGATACGTCCTCTCAGTGTCATGGGACTCTGAAATGTAACGAGCGGGGCAAATCCCCTTCCCTTAAAAGGTAACACTCACTGGTGCGTATTTCAGCTGAAACTGAACTGTGGTTTTTCAAGAACCACTCTTATTCTGTCACATTTTCGGTTTCAGGGTTGGTTTTTTTTATTTTTTTTCTTGTTTGTTTTTGGTACCTGGGTACAGTTTTGAAATAAGAAAAACAGAACTCCACATCACTGTCAGCAATTTATTTCTGCTGCTGTGTTGGTAATCTGCAAATGGAGATGAAGAGGAAATTGAAGATTGGGCCAAGTGGTTTTGCTGAGCCTAAGATCAGTGAAATTTCTGTCTGTATTACTGGCTGCAAAACTGTGTTTATAGCTCAAGGTTAGAACTTGGAGGGTGTTTAAAAGGAGTTACTGCTGGATCATTTGGTACATATCACTTAGTCCATCCTTCCAGATATCATGAAGACAAGATTTTGGTCCTTGCTGAGTATACACTGGGTAGCTCCTTCCGTGGAGCATAATCCACAGCTTGCCCAAAGCCAGCATTAGTATATGCTAGTGTATAAACAGTGTTGACGGTGGACAAGTCTGGAATTGAGAACAGACTTAGACTCATGCTGAGTAACTGTGTAGAAAGTTTAAAAAACTGCAAGTTGCATGAGGTTGTTGGACAAGGTTTTCTTGTGGGGCTTATTTTTTAGTTTCTTATTTCATGAATCAAAATGGTTAATTGGATAATAGATTTCTCTTGAAGGAAGCAGAAGGGTGATATCACAGTTTCTATAGTTCTGCGGTAACTGGCAACTTTAAAACTAGGGAAGTTCTGCAGACTCCAGCTGACTAGATTAGATCAGATGTCACATACAAGAGGATTTCAAAAGATTTGGTGAGTGGAGCTGGGTGATACTTTCAAAATATAGGTATCTTGAATGTAATGCATCTTAACATTTTCTCACAGTTAGTAATAGGTAACAGTAAATCATCTGTTCAGGCTTTTTCAGCAAAGTCAAATAGTAAATAGTCATCAAAACGAAAATTATTTTCTAGTGTTAGTCCCTCTGGGCTGAGCTTATTAGCTCAGGTGCAAGTCCCTGTGAAGGCTTTATAAAACTTCCAGACTTGAGCTGACACTGCAAAAATAGTGTAGATGTGTCTTGATCTCTTACATAATTATTTTGTTAGATTTGAGGTAGGTGTTTTCTTCCACAGAACAGTGGTAGCTGAATCAAGGCCCTTTAAAAGGAATTTCAAACTTTATTCAGGCCATTAGTTAATCAAATATGATTAAGCACTTAACCTCTCAGAGAATACCAGGATAGCAAGAAAAATAAACAGATGTACATGTCACCGATTCATAAAAGAATTTCAGGAATGATGTATCGTGCTTTGTGAAAAGCAAAAGATTCACACTTCTACATTCTCAAGACAAATACATTTGGAATATGCCAGACAAATGGAGGTGGAAAGACTCTTTTAATAATATTTACTCTGTTTGAATATTTGTTTGCAAAGTTGTACTTTTATGAATGTTACTTTTTCAGCATTACAGAGGTCACAGTGGAAGATGCTATTATCACACTAATAACTTATTTATATACAGGGCAAATTCCTTGATTTGGCTAACGCTATGAACAATGCTAAATAACTGTGGATGCCAAACTGGAAGTAGCTAAAAGTAATATTCTTTAATTGTGCTCGTAAATATACAGTTAATAAAGCTGGTGGATTACATCCAAAATTTTCTCTAACACTCATCATTTTTGAGGGATGGTTCAACTTGTTACATCTTGACTTGATCTCTAAAGGGAAGTCAAATTTTAGGTATCTTCCTGAGGGGAAGGAAAAAGATGGCTGATAAATTTCAAAGGATTGATTGTGATCAATAACTATAGTTCTTAATGAGAGATGCTGCTGAACAGCATTTGATGGTGAGCTCCAGGAGACCTTTTACAAGTAGGAGAGTTGTAGACTCTGCAGGAGAGGATGTACATTTTGAGTCTTATATTTAGAAATAAGGCGTGTCTTGGCATTTGCTCAGTAGAGATTGAGACTGGAACAAGCAAGTTTTTCTTACTTGTTTTTAAATGGTTAGATTAGAAGAACAACAGTAGCACTTAATTTTCTAACTCTTCTGTGGTAATTGCACCAAGGGTATCTGATGGTCTTGGAAGTGGCAATAATTAAAAGTCTTGCAAAACCCATCAGAGTCAGGGGAAATACCCTCTTTTGCGCATTCATTTTAGTGAGTTGTACACAGAGACTAAGGAGGAGTTGTCCCAGATGCTAACTTTTTTCCATTTCAGTGGGACTTAGGTTGCTAAATACCTTTATGAATCAAGTCCTAACTGATTTACTCGGGGTCATTTGGGAATTAAAGTAGAACAAAAGTAAAAGCTTATTTCCTTAGCTATAGTCTAATAGTCTTTTTGGTGTAATATAATCCTTTATGTCCTTTTCTTATGCTCCTGCTGCACAAGGATTTTTGTCATTCTCAGGAATAGGAACTGAAGAAGCCTCTGTGTATGTTACAGGTATCTGCTGGGTTAGCCAGACTAGCTCTGTCTACTTGTGGATATTGAGGAGTTGAAATGTATGCATTTTTCACTTAATTCAAATTGCAGATCATTAAGATCTTTCACGTTCCTTTGTGTTTTGTTGGGTTTTTTTATTGTAGCCAGCTTTTTTCCATCAGCTTTGAGTATGTTGCCTTTCTCTACAAGGCAGTTAAGTAACTGGTGATCTTTAGTGTTTTTGTTGAAATATGTATGAAAACATTGTAGTGAATAGGACTGTAGCTTGTTGGACTAGTCACCACGATGCTAGGCTATTAAGTGGATTACATCTCTGAACAATTAATTGATTTAAATTTATTTCTGTGGTTGGATACTAGAACTTGGTGGTTAGTGATTTGTTTAGATTTTTCTCCTGCTTCAGATACTAATTTTTTGAGATTTCAGTATGAGCAGTTTCTTTTTAAATGTATTACTTTAAAGTTATGTTTTCTTTTGTATTCTTGAACTGCCGCTTTCTCTCAGTCCTGTCTTTGCAGATGTGCAATGCTTTGAGACCACAGTGCCCAAGATATCCTTGCACTTATTATTATCCCTTTGTTTTATGTTACAGCCAACAGTTTTCACATTACTGCCTACTTTATGAAGAGATGGGTTAATCTCCGTTGTGCTGTAGGGAAGCGTTATCGTGGTAAGAAATCAGTTTCTTATAGTGTTACTTACAACTTTGCATTTCTGGGAGGGGAAAAAAGAGAACATAGACTAATACTTTGTCAGATTTTGGTCTACTTAATCAAATTTTTTTTCAGAGCTTGCTTTTTTTATTTTTTTTTTAGTTTAGGATGTTTGCTAAAAAAAAAAGAGGTTTTTCTTAATGTATGATGGATTATTTTTTTTTAAAACTTAAATTTAAATTTGTGTATGCCTTGCCCCAGGGTAATCAGCTAAGCCACACCAAATTCTGTAAGTATGATGAGACTCAGCATTTTACTGAGTCTCTGCAGCATGAATCAACCAGAGGTTGCAGCATGAATCACTTCATTATTGTTCGAGTGTCTTGTGACATCAACTGTACAGTACAAGTGTATGCAAGAAAAGGCTTTCATTCACCTCAGTGCTATAAAATCTTTACATAGCTGATGTCATTGGACCAGATCTTTTTTTCATGTTTTCTCAAGCCAAGATGCTCTGTAAGGAAGTGATATCAATCCTGTTCCGCCAACAGAAGTAAAAAGAAGTTACAATGATCATTGGCCTTTGTGTTGAGGTTTTTGTATTAAAAAAGCAAAATAAATCAATTAGGTGCCCTTAAAATATTGAATACTTGAATGGATATTTTAAAATAATTTCTTATTGTTCTAGGAATTCTTTATATTCATAAATGTTTAAATCTCTCTTCAAATACCAGCTAGTTGTTTTCTAAGTCCAGATTGGTTGAAGAGATTGGAGTGCTGATTTTAAATATTTCATCAAAGATGTTCTCCCAGCCTCCTGGAAGAACAGTTAGAGTAAAATAGTGTAGTGTCTGCACTGGTGTCTCAATATTGGTTTCTGTGTATTAAAATTGAACTTTTTTTAAGCGTCAACGAATACCTAAAGATACTTTCATTTTGTTAGCCATCAAATGAAACTGTTACAAAATGTAACAATAAAAATGTCTAACTGGAATGAACTTGCACTACTAGTGCTGCCGAAAAGAGAGGCTCTGATGCCGCAGTCAAAACTTTGCTTCCACATGATGTTCCCAATGAGGATGGAACTTAATTTTGGTGGGTTTTGCTTCCAATAAATAGCAAAATAAGCCCATATCATCAAAAAGAAATAATTTGGCACCAGTGTTTCTATTCTGTAAGATACACCTATTACTTCACAAAGACCAGACGTTAAGCCCAATAGAAGAAGAATCTTGTATACTTTATATTGGTGATGCTCACTTAATATCTAAAGTGAACTTACCAAAGAGGCTATTACTGGAACCACATACACCAAATTCAGTCCTTGTAACAGTTGCCTGGCTTTTCTTTTATAGCCCATTTGGAAGACATCTGTAGACTACATGAAGTTTGGAAGCCATTGTACTAGACCTTTGAGGGTAGCTTTTCAGGTCTTGAGGATACAAGCAGAGAAGCGATAGTCTGGACATAAGGCACAGCAGGAATACTACTTTGGACACAGTTTTGCTAACGGAGTTGATATTTCTGCAAGGATTATGAAAGGCTCATATTCATTAGTAAGTTGTAGTAGCTTAGAAAGCTGTTGTGCCAATACAGATGCATCTGAGGTCTCTGTGTATGGCAAATGCAAGGTAATCTGTTTCAACATCTCCATCATTGATTGTAATGGCTCTAGAGTTGCTGTGGTACACACTTTTTATAAAGCCAAACCAAAGCAAGAACCAACAACAAAAAAAATCTGATCTGCAAATATGAAGATATTAATCTGGAAATAATCTGATATATAAAATAACAAAATATTCAGCTGTGATTTTTTTCACAGCATTGCTAATGCTTTGTCTGGTCTATTCTAATCTGAAAATCCTTCCATTTTTAATTCTTTTTAAATAGGAACTCTGTCATGTTCACAACAAACCATGTTATCTTGAGTAAAATATGTATTTCAGTAGTAGTTAACTAATTTTTTTAATGACTTCAAAAATCACTGTAGTCAGAGTTTGAAACATTTAGCCTTATGATGAGTTTTTATGACTGAATGTGTTGTGATGTATTACAAACATGAATTACAGCTTTTGTGATGAAAAGACTCATCACCAGAATAGCACAGAATAAATGGTTGTTAAGTGGTTCTGTCTGGTATATTTGTCCAGAGGTGCAGGTGAACTAATTTGCAGCCATGACTATCCTCTTGGGAACTAAAATTATTCTGACTTACTGATTTTTTTTTGGATGGTTTAAAAAACCAAAACAAAAGGAGGCATATGATGTTGAAGAGAGTAGGTAAGAAACTAGTAGAGTATCTGGAGTGAGTTAGTGTGCAATTTAAAAATAATTTTTTTTTGTTTACTAAAATAACATGTATATATGTTGTCATGTGTGGTTTTCAGCATGCATATAATTTTTGTAATCTTCTTTTCAATTTTTTTTATGTAGAGCTACGTGTGTTTCCAGAAAGATTTATAGTTTGTGTCAGTAAACTTGAATGTGATCCAAGCGCTTGGATATGTGAAAATGGTGTATTGGTATGTACAAAACTGTTCTGTAAATTTCCTGCTTTATTTTATAGTAGTAAGATGAATGTTTATATATAGATGTAGTTATTAACATATTTGTGACTGTTGTCTTGGAAACAGAAAATCACATTAACAGTTGCACCCAAGTATTCAAAAAGAGATCCTTAAGTGACTCTGAAACAGACGAAAATGGTAATTTTTGGAAACTCAGCATTTTCTGAACCATATAAGCCTCATAGAAAAAGACCACATATTTAGAAAGCTAAGTATAATTTTAGCACCTTGTTTTAAGGATCTTTTTTATTCCTTTGTATTTTGTCTGTGTAAAGTTTTACTTTCCAAAATTATAGCGGCAAAGTTTTTAATGTCCCTGGGTTTCTTCTATATTTTCTTAGCATTTGTTCTGCCAAACAAATAGACAAGTGCTAAACCTGCTGGGGAAAAAAACCAAACCAACAGAAATAAACACACACCCCCCCCCCAAAATCCGAAACAAATATTTATGGAGAAAAAGGCACTGGTGTGTAGTAAAATGCCATAAAAATTTCTACTTAAATATTTCATCCTGAAGGTTTCATCAGTGTCAAAGGCTTATAAATGTTATGCTGCGGTTAACTGCTGAGTGTCTCAGGAGAGCTCACATTGACCCAGGTGGCTGCTACATGGCAGGCGGTCCCTTCTGTGCTCACAGTAAGGGTCAGAATTACATGCTGAGGTCTATGTGTATTTTAGTACTTTATTTTAGATGTATTAAAGTACATTTGACCCTTGAAAAAAAAGGTTTTTTCCAGTCATTCAACTTATTTCTTTAATATCAAGCAAGGTGTTTTTATTTATTAGTGCAGTTTTATTATCTTTATTCCTACATTAGTAAGTATTCTTAAATGTCAAAAGATCAAGCAAATGTTTTTCTCTCTCTCAGAAAAAAGAAATTAACTGCTTTAGAAGTACTTTACTACACTGAAAATCATTACTTTCTCAGCGTTGTCTTGAAAACTACTTAGATGCTTTAAGTAGAAAATCCTGTCTCTGCATTTTTACTGAGAAATAATTATCTTTTTTTTTTCTTGCTTAAGTATCTCTTATGAGATATCTGATTCCCCCATTTGGTATTTTTAATCTTCCATAAGAGATGAGAAGTTCGCTTTAGTTTCTTTCACATGATTCTGCATAGTAAAAAGGCGGCAAATGAAAAATATATTATGGACTTCAGGTTGACTGTTTCAAACCTTGATCTTTGTCTATGGAAACTCATTGTTGTTGAAAAGGGGAGTTTAAACATTTTAATATTTTAAAATAAATAAATCTCTTAGTGGGATCATGACCTAAGCAATAATAAAGTCTTGGGAGTTTGCTTTACTTGCAGATGCAATATGTGCACAGAACTGTCTGGAACAGTCAGTGTACTATATTGGTAGGAGAGAATATGAAAAAGTTATCCCTAAGCCATCTTTCCTGATTTGAAGAACAAGCAAGATGTGAACAGATGCTCAGGAAATGTTTTGGAGTATCTTTTTAATTCTTGCCACTCTACATTAAAAGGTCCACTCCAAACTGTTTTGTTGATCCAGAATTTCTACCGCATGTTAGTACCGGCTTTATCATACACTCCAGCTCAGTACTTTGCCAAACTAGAGGAGTGTTTGATTGCCACTGAGAGGTAATTTCAAGTTTTTGGCACTCCAGAAGGAAAGGCTAAGGATCTGTGCTTTGTGTGTGTACTTTTCTCTAGGCAATTTAGCAGTGAGTATGCTTGAACTCCAAACTAGACTACAAAAGACCACCCAGAAGACCTTTCTGTTGATATACTCCAGTGTATTCTGTCATGGGCTAAAAATGAGGCTTATGTTTTGTTTTCCTCTGTCTGTTGTTTAGGTTTGAATAATTTCATAATGTTGCATGCAAGTTCTTTTAAATGTTTAATCAGCTCATGCCCTTGGTTTTGAGGGCCTATCTGTGTTTTATAAAAGTAATTGAATATATGTTAATGGAAACTTTGTCACTTTTTCAACATTGCTTAATGTCTTTGTGATTGACTTAGTCAAGACTTAACAGTTTTTTGTTTTGTTTTGTTTTTTTTAAACTGCTTTTATGTTGTTTTACAGCTTGGGTCAAGCTTTCATTCCTTGGCTCTGTCAAGACAAGTCAGGCTCAATGCCCTGCTTTCCCATTACTTGGAACTGGTTTTATGTCAGCCTGATACAGATACATATCTTTAGTTCATTGCAACTCTCTCTTTCTTCACCAATCTTCAGCACTTTATTCTTTGCATTTTCACTGCCTTTTACAGGTATTCTCTGTATCTCTGAAATAGACTGAGATTGAACCAAGAGTTTCAAGGGATGTAGCCAGATATGAAATGAAATACTTATGTCCTACGTCTTAGGAAAGATCATAATTAGATTTCTTTTGAGTTATTCACAAGCACAAACCTTAGCATCGATTGCTGAGAGAAGCAATTTGAAGCCTTCTGTGATGCATCTTGAAAGACCAAGGAAAAGGTGGTTTAGGCAGCCTCTCAAATTAACTTTAAGCATAAACTAATAAAGGATTTGAGAGCACTTCTAAAGGGTAGAGCTGAAATAAAATTGAAAAAAATCTACTGATAGGTAATTTTCTGTGTTCTAAAATCTATTTAGAAACAGGTGCTCCTGTGGTCATATCTAAAAATCAGGCTACAGGCAGTAATAATAATTTTGGAAGAAGAGAAGTCTCTTAAAGAATCTGTTGAAGAACTTGCTGTATTACAGAAACAATACAGCAAGTTATTAAAAATGCATAAGGAAATTGGAAGTTTCAAGGAAAAGATGGAAGAATAGCTTGGCTGATTAATGCTGAGTTTAAACATAAAACCATTGTTTCCTGTTTTGCCAAACTATGTTTGTAATCTTTAATAGTTTTATCTTGAAAAAGAAGACAGTTTTGGGAACATGGCAAAAGAGGAAACCCAAGGCAATGTGTAAGAGCTCTGGAGAGATTAGTCATCTTTTGTCAATGACGACATTTTCTTGATGATTATTATGTACAGAGCTAAAATGGAAAGTTGAAAACAGGTTATCTGAAGAAACAGTGGAAATGGAAATGGGTGGAAGGCTTATTGGAGGCTTGTGAGCATTTGAAAATATGCTAACAATGGAGTATTCATTGATAAAGCATCGGCTTTATACTAGAGTCTATGAGAGGAAGCAGTTATAGGGAAAGCGTGAGGGAAGTTAAGCTGATGATGATATTAAAGTGGAAATATGAAGTCATAATTCATATGAAGTCAGAAACGAAAACGGGCATTAGGAGAGCCTGTCTTGATTTAAAAGATCTCAAAGTTTCCACTGAGCGTTGTTAAGTTACATAGAATATTTTACCAGAAAAAAAAAGATTATTTTCCAAACAGGATATTACTCTCTTAAAGGAAAAAAAAAACACCTACGTAGGTATGTAAGGAGGAGAAAAATGCTTAAGATATGGCCTCTGCTTATTAAATCCCCAACAGAGAAATGAAAACAAACAATTTAATCATCTTTATACATGTCTGATTTTATAAATCATGTCATTGTAGCATACTTCAGGTACCTTAGACAGTTCTCATTCTTAAAACTCGTGTTGTAAGAGCATCAGTGACAGGATGTGCTTGGATTTTGATTATGCTGGGAAGAGGCTTCTGGTTCTTTCATGAAAACATACACTTAGCTGTAATTAACAGGTGACTTAACAATAGAGTATATGTTGCTAGAATAGCATGTCTACTGGAAGGTAGAATGAAAACTTTTCAGATAGCAGCAATTTGTAAAGATTAGTAGAAGACTTTGTGTGGAGTTTAGTTATCTTAAATACTTTGAAGACTATTGTTAAGTGATATCAGATTGGGTAGGGGAAGAAGGAAATGCTGTGAAATACAATTGCACAATTCACACTCTGTGAGTGCTAATCTTGGCATGGAACTATGTGTGTGTATATATATATCTATAAAAACGATCACAGTTAAACTACTGTAATAGTGGGCTACTACTGAAAAGGTCAGTCCACATCCCCTCTAGTTCCAGCTATATATTCTTTTCCTTTCTGGTTACAAAGGACCAAGTGATTCTTCAGTTGAGAATGAATTAGTTCATTGACTTGATCCAGCAGAAAACTATTTGTTTGTGAAGTTTCTCGGGTTTTTTATTGGAGGATTAGTTTTCTGTCATGTCAGTTCACTGAACCAACTCATCCTGTACCCATGCAGTTGCCAAGTGTGACACAAAAAATGTTGCAGGAGCATGCAGCCAGGATTTGGATGAAGTGAGCAGAACCACTCCTTTAGGTCACAGCTGATAGTTCCCCTGGTTTGGAAGCAGCATCCAAAACACACGTTCTTGTTACATTTGTTGTACGATGGCTTTTGATTTCATTATAATTTTTAAATTTCATAAAATCTAGTTTTTCATGTGATTTCAGATAATGTACTTAATTCTTTTAACTTGATATCAAGTTAATAGTGATATTAAGTTAATAATTAACTTGGTATTAACTACTATTAAGCTGTAGTTTGGTAACTGTGCAGTGTTCACTTCTTTTTTCAAAAACATAGAGAGGAGAAACTGCAGACTAATGAACCCTGTAGTTTCCTATATACCACAGAGTGGAAAAGACCAAAGAACTGCTTTTGTCTTTGGTGAGTTTTCTCTTTTGACGCTTAAAGCTTTTTTCTACTCATCCTTCATATTCTGCTCGAGCCGATGTAAGATTGATGGTACTGAAACATGCAGTCCCTCCCGCCTGCTCTTCTCTTGGCCATGCATTCTTGTCCTCAGTGTCTGTCAGTGCTGGCATGTGTGGCGAGCTGGGTTAATTCATTGATCCCTCTGAAAACAAAGGTTGTTTTTTTTTGTTTTGGAGGTTTTTGTTTGTGTGGTTAGCTTTCAGCTGGATCACTTAGGTCAGACTCTCACTGCATGGCTGCTAGTGTTGATACAGAGACTTGGCAGGACCATCTGTTGGGTAAGGGTGAGATTTCCCTTTCAGTATCAGGATAG